AACTCGCTGACTATTGTACATTTTACTGTACTGTTTTTCCGTTTTTAAATGTTTGTGCTCGTTAGCAATTTAGATTTGTTGTTGATGTTATCCATGACAGTAATACGTACTGCGAAATGCCAGGCCTCTGAAAGTCCCCATCGTTGGTATTCGCCATGTTATTTGAATTTTTATTTCAAATTTCGCGAAAATGGTTTATAACATTTCCTGCAAGTTCGTCGTTCAAATCTGGTGCCGAATCAATGTTTTAGAGCCTCCCATCAGAGCCATTAATAATAATAATAATATTAATAATCTGTCTCTTAGTAATAATATCTAATAATATTAATAATTTTAAAAAATACTTAGACCTACTCCCAGAGCTACTCATAGGAGCTAAAAACTAATTTATTTTAGTTCTCAAATATGCATATTCTTTATGTTGATTTATTGATTAAATTTTTGCTACAAGGTATTTTACAACATTTGTTTATTTATTTATTTATTTTTCTTTAATTTTATAATTGAGGGCCATTTTTTTATTTCTTGATTCAATTCTTGCTTATACAGTATTTAAATATTTGTAGATAAAAAAAAATATATATCATTTTTATTACCGAATTTTTCATTGGGGCCATTTTTACCTACCTGTCATATGGGGCCATTTTTACCGGGGCCATTTTTTCTGGGGCCATTTTTTCCGGGGCCATTTTTTCTGGGGCCATTTTTTCCGGGGCCATTCTTACCTACATTCCTATTCAGCTATTACTTAAAGTGTATGAGCTTACAAAACTGGTCATAGCACCTAGACACTCTCCTCAAATTACTGTGGAACACCATGACCTGTCTTGTTCAATTGATGAAAAGAATGATGTAGTAGGTTCTTATTTTTAATCTCTCTGCAGCCTTTTGCACGATTTACCCGGAATTCTAATACAGCGTCTTTCATTTCATTATGGTCTTTCTGGCATTTAACTGGTTTTCCTCATACTTATCATCATGCTCTTAACAAGTCTGTGTCCAAGGTACCATTTCAAAACCTAAGATTTTACACTGCGGTATTCCTCAAGGATCCGTCCTTCGTCCGCTGTTCTTTTCATTGTATTTCACCCATTGCCAAAATCTTGCACTCATATGGAATTCAGTTTCAAATGTATGCTGATTTAAACTTCAAACTATATAATTCTATTGTTTGTCCACTTTTCGAAAATTGTATTCCCGCTTTGCTGCCGTATAACCAAGCTAAGTAATCTCCTGAAACTTGAAAAACTTTAATAACGCATGTTCAGAGCATATTTTCCTATTGATATTCAAACCCTTCCCATAGCCTATGAGCTCAAGTCTTAGCTCAAGAGCTTAGCCCCCAGAAAATACAGTATATCCTAGAGCCGCCACTGCGAATGTGACTTTTTCATTTCGGAAAATTCTCAGGTAAAACCTGGTGCCACCTCTACATAAAAAAATTTAATTAATTGATTTAGCTGTCGATTTAGCATTTGTTCAATTGTGTAGGTTTTCTTCTTCTTCTTCTTCATCCCATAGTCTCAGATGACCTGGCAACCAGTTTCTTCCATCCTTTCCGATCCACCGTCTTCCGTAGTGTGTCACTTAGCTTTAAGCCTCTCCATTCTGTGATGTTGTCTTCCCCTCTCTTTCTTTGTCTACCTATCTTTCTGCCTCCTTGCACAGTTCCTTGCAGGAATGTTCTGGCAAGTTCGGACAATCTCGATGTGTGTCTATACAACTTTAATTTTCTTTTCATTACAATGGTCAGCAGATCTTCGTATGGCCCAATCGCTTGTCTTATTCTGTTCCTTACCTCTTCATTTGTGATGCGGTCTTTATAGGAGATGCCAAGGATCTTTCTGAAGCATCTCGTTTCCATCGCCTGAATTTTTTGCTTTAACTCAGCTGTCAGCTGTCAGAGTCCATGACTCACATGCATATAAGAAAATGGAGATGTATGTTTTACAATCTAATAAAATCTTCTGTTTTGCAGGGCATTAGTCGAGCATATGTTGATAGAGATATCTTTATGCCGGTTATCAAAAGATTCTAAAGATGTAAGCTAGATTTATTAATTAATAACCATTAACCATTAACCATTAACTTCCAAATACATGCTCATTAGTTATGTTATTTTGGTCATGTTGATTGTGTTATGTATTAACAGTACCTTTTCTGAGTAATGCATGTTTTTGAAATGCAAGATACCTTGTCAGTAAATGTCTGTAATTTAAATGTTTCTTTTGTTCTTCAATAGTTGTCCTGCAGCACTAATTTGATGGCAGTAGAACTCACGACCATGATAAAAAAATTGCTGTTGTTAAAGTTTTCATCATTTTAAACCCAGGCTCATTTTAAACCAAGGAAAACAATTTGTTGTTGTGTACCACTGTTTTAAATAAAAGGGGATTACACCCCTTTTCCCCGGTTTTTGAATATGAAAAATATCTGTATCTCATTAACCGTTCCCCATTTTTTCATCAGACACCCTTTTTGTGTCTTAGAAATCTACAAAATAACATTTTTTTCCTTCCAGAGCCTGACTTAATTAAGATCTATGTAAAGTTATTGTCCTGGGTATGACGTTAAACTACATCCAGGCAGAGCAGGTAGGTTGTCTGTGGGGTTAGTCAGTCCCAACTAACTTCTACAAAATGCAGACAAGAGACCGTATAAACCTCTCTGTGACTGGCGGGATGTTCGGCGCCATAAAACCGAGCGGGACCCCTGGATATGAGGGAGGGAACTTGCTGCCTTGTAAAGAGGTCTTGGATGGCCAAAGACTAGGCCCACCACCGAAAACTGTGGACGTCGATGGCGTGGCGACCCTTCGACTATCTAGCCTTTAGTTTCTCATGATGTATATGTCGATTATACAGATTGTGTCGTATGAGACAGCCCAACACTGTCAATTAATGGCATTTGCTGCATCCTACAAAGTTAGCTATGCTGGCCTTATAGGGGAGTTACGAGTTTGAAATTTCACTTATACATTTAAGGAATATAGAAAAAAAAGTGAGGCTGAACTTGTTTTTCGCTGCCTTGGTATTTTTTCCATAATTTAATTCTGGTATTGCAATTGTTGAATGTTAAGATAAGCAAGCAAGTAAGAAAGCAATACAAACAAGATTTGTTTACCTTAGATAGAGCATGATATTCATTCTTTGAATGAATGTTTCCGAATATTATAACTACAACATTACAATCACCATTGTTATTAATATTATTGCAATTTTCATCAGTGCCTAATATTCAGGATAGATCATATCTACTATAGTTAAATATAGCCCATAGGAACAAAGAGTGAAGATGATGACTTGTGTGAAAGTTAGCCAAACGTATCCTACTACTTCTAGGTATGATACAACAAATCAGCTTCTCATAAAGTGGGTGACTTTCATCTGATATAGATGTGAATAACCTCTTCACACATGCATGATAAATAGTGTCAACAGCATGTAGATTGACTTGGAATTGCATTTGACTCAAATCAAATGTATACGCATTCTAGCCTTTATCTCTCTTGCGGAAACAATTGTATTTAGAAATGATTACAGCCACATTACACACTTTTTTTGTCAAATCAGGTTTTTTAAAGAAAAGAAACTCCCAAATCAAACTTTGCAGTGACCCTTTCTGCACTATAGAAATTTCAAACCCGTAGCCCCCCCCCCCTTGACTGCCTTGTACAAAATAGTGACTGACTACATTCCTGTAGCAGCTGCAACTTGAAGACAAGGTAGTTTTTTAATGTATTGTGTTTGTTATAGGTAGTTACTTAGAAAAAAAAAAATTCTTTAGAAAAAAAAATTTAAAAAATAAAATAAAATTGTAAATACTGTATTATAAACCATCATACTAACTGTACCGTACTCATGCTAATAAGCACCCGGGTGCTTAAAATATTTTTTTTGTAATTTTTAAAGTTATATAAGGATATCTGGAAACTGAAGATTACGAATGGTTCTGATGCAGAAAAGTTAATCGTCCAGAGAGAATGCTGTGAGTTTCAACAGCAGATGAAACTAGTGGTGGTGGTTGTGGTGCTGGTGTATAAGCTGGTTCACCATCTGCCGATGAGATTAGCTGGATCATTGCAGGGCATTCAAACATGCGAAAAGTGCAATTTATCGGAAATGAAAGTAGGACTAGATAAATGTAAGAAGAGGAAAGTTAAGGAAGATACTGTTCGGGGAGAAATATAAAAAATTGAAATTAATATACTAAGGAAAATGCGAATCCACTCCGCAGCTCAAACCACACCAACAACAGTCCCAGTATTGATTGGATTATTGGCTTGCTAAGAAAACAATCACATGATAAAATATGAATAAGCATCGAGGAGGCTCATTCAAATAAGGAGGGGCGCTTAAAAAATTTTCACGTTTAGAGCAGTATTTATTCATACAGGGCGCTTATTCGCGCGAGTACGGTATTATGATTTACATATTAATGTATTTTTATCGTGTCTTAGTATTTAGTCTTTAAGTTTTACTCCATTTAAAGAAATCTTTAGTATACTGTTTAGTTTTTGGTGAAGTAAACCCCTTGACGCATAATTTTTATTACGTTAAGGTATGTAGGTCACTACTGTAGGACTCATAGTGGAGTAAAGTGTCAATACCATAGTGCATAGTTTAATTAAGTTGGGGTATGGGGGTCTAGCATCAACGTTTACAGTCAAGGCAGTATTGTAAATACGTAGTAAATCAGGGGTTCTTAACTATATCGCAATAGGGGCCAAAATTGTTCATAGAATAAATTTGAAGGGCAGGTGCGCATGGTTTGGGAGGGGAGTGCCCCTCCCCTTTCGAATTAGAAATGCCCCGAATTACAAATTTTTTGAAAATAAAAAATCTGCTAGATGCTCATACAGGGCATCTTGACCTTGGATAGTTGCTTTTTGTTTTGTTTGGTAATGAAAAAAATGTTATATTACACAATGGGTTATGGTGCAATATTGTATTTTTACAGTATACAGATAGTTTGTCCAATTTGAATGATTAAATCGTACAATTTGTGGGAAAATATTATAGTTTTAGTTGGCAAAACAGAATACAAAATTATAAAAGGTTAAAAATCTAGGCCCAAGCATAATTTAAGATATTATTTTCAGCTTCTTCTCATGGGCTGCATAACACGCACTCGCTGGCCGGAGATGGCCCGCGGGTCGCCAATTAAGGACCCCTGTATTAAAGTATTGTGTTTGTTATAGGTTTGTAAGACACAATTGTAAATAATGCCATTTGATTGCGTGTATGGTCTATATGACAAAATGGGGCATTTCAGTGTACTGTGCAAAATCATGTAGTTATCGGTAAATTGTTTATCAATACATAGGCTACTACATATGAATTTGTACAGTATAAAAAGAAATTTGGAAGTCTGACAGTGTGGTGTTTGATCATACATTCTATAGGCTTACAACAATCAACAGTAGGTGTTTCTACATCCAATTTGTACAGTTAATGACATCTGTAAGGGTAGTGGTGTGGGACACTTTAAAGATTTCAACCAGCCTACAAATGGAGACTGGAAAATTGCCTCCTCCTTTTTTTTTAAATATAAATACAGACCCTTAGGCTTTTGATCAATTGTATGTCTTATATCTTGTTAACTTTTTAAAGATGTATTGGCCCATGCAAAATACAAAAAAGAAAAATCACAAAAATCATTTTTTAAATTAACTACTCATTTCAAATTAACCTAAAAATATTCAACTTGAACGCAGAATTTAAAAAACATTTACCCATAATTTTACTGTGAAAACTTATAGAATTTTTTTATTATCATTATCCAGTATAAAAATCATTGTTATTTATTTTATTAATTCAATAATTTCCATGTTATTGCAAAATAAGTGAGTTAATTTGAAAATTAATTTTTATGATTTTTCTTCATTTTCAGGTGCCAAATATTTGTATGTACTGTATCTACTATTAATGTCCTCGATCGGTAAATTTTGAAAAATTTATAGGTGTTGTGACATCAAATTCATTGTTATTAAATATTATATTAAATACTGCTTTTCTGTGCAAGTCAATCTTGTGATTGTTGTGAAAAGTGGCATTTTATGGAGTGTGTGTTCTAAAACCTCCCTAAAGTTATATTTAGTTACCCCCTTGCAAAGGGGATGATGGTTGTGTTTTTTTATATATATTTTACTCAAGCCAGTCTATATCCATCCACATTTAAATCAAGCACACAAAGTCACATTGTATCATACATAAATACTCTCGACCTTAATGTCAGGGATTTGAAACCCTTGCATGTGTCCTTGGGCAAGAAAATTAAAAGATAAGGAAAAGAGTTGAAAAAGTGTTATGTTTAAACAAATAAATCTCAGAATCAGAAAACACTTTATTGTCTTCAAAAGAAAAAAATAGTTTTGCTAGGAAACCTATTAAAAACTATTGCACATTAAAATTTGATGAAACACATTTATAATATAAATATAAAAAATATGATACAATACAATTGTACATTACGTAATCATGAAATTTTTAAAAACGTTAAAATAAAAGATCACCAAAAGTTGAACACAATAAAGACAATAAAAAGAGGCATTATTCTTCTTCTTGTTATTATTTGTGAAATCAAAATGCTAACTAATGTTTTGTGTGCTCCCTATCTTCCTAATCCTGTTTTATCGTAAATTAATAATAATAGTAATAATAATTATGATAATAATAATAATAACAATAATAATAATGTTATTATTATTATTATTATTATAACCACCATAATTATTATAATTACAGTTATCACTATTATTGTCATTACTACATTTGATTGTCTTATTATTTACAATTATCACTATTATTGTCATTACTATATTTGATTTTCTTATTATAATTACAGTTATCACTATTATTGTCATCACTACATTGGATTGTCAACTACTATATTTGATTTTGTTCATTTTGCATCACACACACATTTAATTTATTTTATAGGATTTATATAGCATACATATAAAGAAAACTGCTCAAGGTGCATTTTTCCCAGGTCATTGGATACAGAATAAATCATACACAACTGCAACCTCCTCCACTCCCTGGGGAGTATTCCTAGTAATGCGTGTAATCAGCACTGTAAATTTCAAATTCCGAATCATTATCTTTACCAGGTATCCATTTATATTACTGGGTGAGAGGCAAATGCAGCAGATAAAGTGTCTTGCTTATACACAAGCAGTGTGACGAGAATCAGTATCGAAATCAGGCCCGTATGCAAGGGGTGTGACGAGTGCAACCCCGCTCCCCAAATTACCAAAGGTCCACATTTTCTGGGATAGAAAGACTAACTCTCGCACGTTCCAGAAAACCATCCACCACACCTCCTTGACCAATCAAAGCGGTTTCCAACTAGGTCCACCCTGCCCTGATCTAATTTGTCGTGCAAGCAACGACTTTTACCGGTATTATATAACATTTTTGAGGAATTTTTTTTCTTGCGTGTCAATATCTTCATTAGGTTCTTGTTTAGATCTTTGCACAGTTTGCCATGGCGAAGATCAGAGCAAGAAATATATAATTTTTAATAAAGAAAATTATATTCGAATTTAAAGTATGGTGGGTCTGAGATGATCTGTGAAAGTCCTTCCTTGGTCCCTCTAGAGTATTTTGAATTTATTTGTATTTTTACTTACCTCAACCACGGTGGGGCTGAGGTTGTATAGGCCATCTGAGAAAGTCCCTCCCTGGGCCCGCTCTATTTCAAATTCCTTGGTCCGCCACTGAAAACCGTTTTCATACCCCCTGCCTCTAATTTTTTCAAAATTTATTTTTTTAAATCGGAAAAGATTTCTGGTCATGTAGAAGGCCCATGATCATAAATTTTCTTACCTCAGCCCTTACCATGGTGGGGCTGAGGTGGTAGATTGACCATCCATCTGTGCAAATCCCATGGTAATTTTCCTGGTTACCCGTAGCAAATGAAACACTGTAATTTAAAGTACTATTTGGTATAGGCCTAATTAAAGAAAAGTGCAAATTAACTTTTCCCTGATATAATACAGTTTAACCTCTCTGTGCAACCACCTCCCGTAAGCGATCACCTCCCTCGTCCGATCTCATATGATCCTGTTTTCTCCCTATCGAATTTGTGCATTTGATACCTCCCGACTTTTTGATTTTTATTATGATTTACCTCCTGTAAGCGACCACCTTAAAAGTTTGTAATATCTTTTCACAAGAAATAGTCAGATATTCTAACAAGTAGAACCGAAAATTAGACTCGGCGATGGTGCACTGTCTGCTGCGTCAAACTAATAATGTAGAAAATAATATAAAAGTGATAAGATAAATAGGCCTAAGCTTTCTCGCGTCCAAAAAAAGTTTGTGGTAGGTAGGCCCAATAGGACAACATGCCTGCTTTTTAAGACTTATTTAAAAATAGGCCTTTATCGGAGGTTTATATGATTATAAAATCGTTACCCTTTGTTGGTGGAACCAGGGAAGAGTAAAATCTCACACGAAGTTTATTTTCTTGTTTACACATTGCATTAAGGCTGATTTTATATATATATATATATATCTGTCTCTTATAATTTAACGTCCCATTTCGGTCCATGGAACCTGTCCGGGCCCTTGTCGACCGGCTCCCCAGCCTAGTTGCTCGATGCACTCGAAAGACTTGACCCACCCCTTCCTCATATTTTACCCTGGGTGCACCCCTATGTGTGTATATATATATTATATAATTAGAGTATATCAGTAACTATAGGCATAATGTTAGTCTTAAATGTAATCAATGTAATTCATTGTAGTTTGGAAGAATTGACATCTCTAAATTTTCTGCCATTCTGGTGGGTAAAGCCGACCTCCTAAGGAAGTAATATTTATTCACAAGACGGTTGAACAGGTTGTAAACTGTCTCAAGTGAGATTTGTTCATAGAGGTAGAGAGGTAGAGGTAGCAGATAGCATCTTGCCCCTATTCTTCTATGTGTAAATTTGACCTCCATTTTCTTATCCGAGAAGACTTGGTTCTACAAAGAAAATCCTGAGCGGGGACCGGCTTGAACCAACGCTAATGTTAATACTCGACCGCCCATATGACATGTTTTGTCATATAATGGGACTATGCTTGAAACTTCGTCTGAATAAATAGATTTGATCTTGTCGCACTGCCCATGCATCGATAGTTAACCCAAGTTCTTAAAAAGATAGTACTTATCACCTGGCCCTACTAAATTTTTGACGTGAACCTAGAGAATCTTCAATTTATTACTTGATTGTCAGTACATCGCTGTTTTCATTTGTTCATCTTGAATTCGTATTTCCTCTAATATTCTAGCACTTTCTGATATTTCTTTTGTCGTCTTCTCGATGTCATTTTCCATCGATAGAAACCTAGAATGAGAACATTAATTGTGAGAATTTTTTTTTTTAATGTGTATATATATCGATATCATTATTGTGGTCGCTATTATAATTATTTATTCCGGTCATTACAATGTTTTTTCACTATCTTAATAGATTGTGCCTGTAGCACCGTATAATACCGTACATAAAGCTCTGATTTTCAAGTTTAATGTGGTAGTAACTGTGACTTGTCTGTAGGCCTATATGTTCATGTGATATGACATCATGGCCATATAGGCCTGTGGGCAAACCACAAGTTCAAGTTCGATACCATTTGTTATTTAACACTGGTTGATGCTCGCTTAAATTACAAAATTACAGTTAAAGAAGCGCATAAATTATACTGACGTGTGCGTGGATATTTTTGGTCCGTTGTTATTGGTCCGTTGTAAAGTTTAACACTCTTGAAAGTTCCGTTGGCGAGTAAACTTAAAAGTCACTTGAAATTACTAAAAAAGTTTGAACTTACTGTTCCTTGATACGCTTAGGGACGCGTATCTGACGCGGATTAATACACTCAGAACCTAGAGGTTCTTTGTTCTCAGCAGCTCTGTTTGCAACTTGCTAAAAATTGAAAAGTAGATCGAATTAATAATGCAGGCCTCTGCGTTTCGTACACTATTTTCTAAAGTGTTTATAAATTGTAAACATAATATCACTACAGTTATCCCTCTAATGAAAAACACCTCCAGTTATATACAAATTTTATTTATTACAACATTTAACAAATGTCTTTACCTTTATTATTCTTATTAGAGACCAAAGATGCTAAAGACAATGGAAACCCTGGTCCCAATAGTGGTCTTTAATTTGAGGAAGACACACATAATATGATATGCATAATAATAACAATATTAATGCTCTAACTTTGTTTTAATACACTTTACATCAAATGGAACGGTAGTGTTTTAAAGAACATGGTGCACATGGGCGGCGCACATGGGGGGG